ACGAATCATTGTCAATCACTAACTTTTTAAACAAGGGAGAGCGCCGCTTTTTTCTTTCGGATTCGTAATCTACGCATCAAAATACGTAAGTACAATCAAAAATTTTTTCAAAATCGCCGAGTGTCCACATAACGAAAATTTACCTAATATCGAAATTTTGATATACTAATGGACTAACCTTCAATGTTTCTGCCAAGAAAAAACTCTGTTGCACGTCATCCTGCTGAGGGTCTTCGGAGTAGACATTTTTGATGCCAGTATATCCTCCAGGAACTCGACAGTACTTCTCAAGGGCTTGAACTGCTTCCCAACCCCAGTCTCTGTACTTATTATCTTTAGTCAACTTATACATGTAGTAATATGATTCTATCACTTCCGGTCTCAAAATGTAGTACTTCTCAGAACTTCTGAGAGCTCTTGCCTCAGCACCTTCTCCGAATCGGAAAGACTCAGGGCCTAGTTTCGTCTGAGATCTATCGTAGGACTCATGACATGTCCGAGTTATTTCTTTTGCCACTTCCATATATCGGTCTGACACTTCGTTTCTAAGTGTTTTCGAAGCTAAACCCAGAAGACCACCTGAAATAATAGTTATGAAAATTTTATTTCTTCAGGCGAATTACACATGTTACAACAGGGTTTACATTTAATCAAATAATATTAGTCGTAGCGTCAATAAATATCCAAAATTTGAATAGATTGCAAAAAAGTATAAACATACATAGTTATTTTTTCACTACTAACCTGAGAAATTGCTATTATTTACTCCATTCCCCTTAAGAGAATTAATATTTCTCACCCTTGGTCAATAATGATAATAAAAAAACACCTAGATACCTAAATAATGAGAACAATTCTATAATTTTAAAGATATTCACAGAAACTTTTGTTAACTCAATTATCAACTTAATTATCAACTGAATTTATTGGAGCCTCTGGAGACACCCTACATTTTGTTTTATGAGAGAGAGGACATTGTTAGATCAAGATCTTCTGTGCTGCAGGTTTTTCCGGGTTTTCCTGCAGCTGAAAAAGCAAATGCGCCACTGGAATCAATGAAGTCGCCCCGACTTTATCGTTGTTTTTAACACATTGTAATAATTTTATAAATATATGGTACTAGAAGTAGCAAATTGAACATTGGAAATACCCTTGAAAATTATTTGAAATTATAATTAATTGTACAATTGTGACAAATCAGGCACACATCATTTCTAAATTATCGCCACTTGAATTTTCACCCATTTTTCAATTAATTAAATTGACATTTTACTTATATAGATCTTTCAACTTCTTCAAAATGACATTTAAATTTGAATTAAAACCGCATTTGACAAACTGACAGCAATAATAATCATTGTACAGTGTTTGGTTGTCATGGAAACGCCGGCAAACGTTTTCATGGCCTAAGTAGATGTTGCGCGCTTATCATCTACATCGCGTATTCAACATGGAAACTGTACCGTTTAAATTTGACATGCAACAATTCATAGCTGCCTTGGGTTATCATATAACAAAGGAAATGTTTTTCTCACTATGATGCAGAATTGAAAATTCTAAGTTCTGAACATACAGAAGCAATGAGAGAAGTGGAACATTGAAATATATCACAAATGCAATGAGATACTTCCTAGATTCATATCGAAATTTGACACATGCCAAATTTTTACATAAATAAAGCCAGCCTGATTAGAAACACGCTCCACTCTACTTGATATCCCAACGCGAAGCGGAGGGAGACAAAAAACCGAGAGCTAAAATCTATAGTTATTTATTATTTTTATATCCCGGGATATAATTGAAAAATCAGATATACAGGGTGTAACATAAGTACGTTGAAATATTCAAGTGACGTATTCCTCAGATAATTTTAAGAATAAAAGTCTATATGAACTTGTGCCCGAAAATGCTTCGTTTCGGAGATACGGGGTGTTGAAATTGAATTTTTTTGTTCGCTTTTTGAAAATAACTCTTGCAAAGAATAAGTTATTTGCACGAAATTCGGTACCCGAGATTTTTTTGACGTGGAAAATCATATTTCGTATTAATTTTCCTGTAACATCTAGATGGCGCTGCGTACGCTCTCATTATTTATTTCAAATTGCCCTAACTTTTTTTTGACAGTAAACTTTTGGTACTTTACATGAAAAAACCTAATTCCCAAACTTTTTCCAAGTAAAAAAGATACACTTTTGTCAACAACGCTGGAGGTGATCGTTTTCGAGATATTTACAATTTTCTATATCGATGCATATTACTTTATAGCCAAATTTGATTTCAATAATTTTTGTCACTCTCCGCTTGCAAATTAAGTTAATCAAATCGAGTAGGCTATGAAAGTTTGTTTATAAAAACAGAAGTTCGCTGTCACATTTTTAACTATTAATCGACAAATTCACAGTTCGGAGTTTATAAATTGATTTTTTGGTACCATGTCCGATTTCACGAATGCTTAAATTGCTGATATGGTTTTTGCATACCGCTTGGCTGACGGAAATTCAAGCGAGGCCAGACGCATCTATCAGGAAAGGTATCCCCAACGCGTGACTCCTTGTGCAGCGACATTTGCGAATCTTTTCCGGCGACTTTCCGAATCTGGATGCTTGGAAACAAATTCTGCAGTAGGACGGCCACGGACTACAAGAACTGTAGAATTGGACCAGGCGGTTCTCGAAGAAATTAGTGAACATCCACAGACAAGTACAAGAAAAGGTAATCAAACTTTAAATTTGAGTCACATGACAGTTCACAGAATTTTAAAGGAACAGCAATTATATCCTTACCATATTCAGCGTGTCCAGGCACTTACGCTACATGATTTCCAGATGAGGCTAATTTTTCAAGAAATGGTATCATGAACTTCCATAACAACCACATCTAGGCGGAAGATAACCTATATGCGATAACGCAAACTCATTTCTAAGACAGATTCTCTTTTAATGTATGGGTAGGCATGATTGGGGATTATTTAATTGGGCCCTATTTTCTCCCCTTTCGTTTGAATGGAGATGCTTGCCTAAATTTTTTGAAACACGACCTTCCCAACTTATGTAAGATGTTCCCATTGGTCTCCGAAATCACTCTTGGTTTATGAACGATGGAGCTCCTGCTCATTTTAGTGTGATAGCAAGAAATGTAGCATATCTCCAACGATGGATAGGAAGAGGAGGCACTGAGCATTGGCCTCCGAGGTCAACGGACCTCAATCCCGTGGATTTTTTCTTTTGGTGACACCTAAAATCACTAGTTTATGCTAGCTCCATTGCAAACGAGGAAATGTTGAGGGATCGCATCATAGCTTGCTGCGAAACGATAAGAAACACTCCGGAAATTTTTTAACGGGTGCGGAATTCTTTGATGAGGAGAGCAGAAGCTTGTATTACTGTTGTGGGTCGTCACTTTGAACAGTTGTTGTAATAGTTGTTTCGTTCAATTTTTATATGTTTATTTTCCTAATAAATAACATAGTACTTCTCCGAATTGTTTTTTTACAAACTCCGAAATGTAGCACTTTCTAATTGAATAATTAAACCCGACAAATTTTTTAATTTGTATTGAATAAGTAGTTCCATAATGCTCAGTTTAGAAGAAGTCTGTACGGGTATACTGCATATAAAGTTTGATGAAAATAACTAAAATTGCAAAAAACTTATAACAAAAACCTACCATGTTTTGAAAAATTTCAACAATCTGTATTTCGAAAACGAATCATTCTTCGTTGAACATTTTATAGGAAAAAGTTGCTTATTTTGACGAGATCCACCACATACTTAGTTTTTGTAATGTTCTCAGCAACTTCACTTAGCACCCTAGGAGCTAAGGAATATGCATCGATACGGAAAATTGTAAATATCTCAAAAACGATCACCTCCAGCGTTTTTCAGGAAGTGTACCTTTTTTACTTGAAAAAGGTGTGGTAATTAGTAAAAGTTCCAAAAGTTTACTGTCAAAAAAGTTAGGGCAATTTGAAATAAATAATGACAGCGTACGCAGCGCCCTCTAGATGTTACATGAAAATCAATACGAAATTATGATTTTTCACGTCAAAAAAACCCCGGGTACAGAACTTATTTTTTGCAAGAGTTATTTTCAAAAAGCGAACAAAATGATTCAATTTCAACACCCCGTATCTCAGAAACGAAGCATTTTCGGACACAAGTTCATATAGACTTTTTTCTTTAAAGTGTCTCAGGAATACGTCACTTGAATATTTTAACGTACTGATGTTACACCCTGTATACAGGCTGATTCACGGTGGATGGCACATTAGACGTTTCTGGTGAACCAGACAACGGATCACTTTGAAAATTTAATGGAGGGCATATTCGGACATTCTCTAGACAACTAAAATATTTTCGACAATGCGGTGTTGCCGCTTCTATTAGAAAGCAGTAGCAACTTTGCTACTACTACTACTAATATTATTTTTGGAATCTCCAACTAAATATTATATACAGAGTGTTCCATTTGAAAAATCAAAGTTGCTACTGCTTTCTAATAGAAGCGGCAACACCGCATTGTCGAAAATATTTTAGTTGGCTAGAGAATGTCCGAATATGCCCTCCATTAAATTTTCAAAGTGATCCGTTGTCTAGTTCACCAGAAACGTCTAATGTGCCATCCACCGTGAATCAGCCTGTATAGAATAGAGTGAGGCGAATGCTTTGCAGTATATACAGGCCAAACCGGTAGAAATTCTGACATAAGACTGCGAGAACACGTCTGTTTAGCCGCCCTGTAATCCATCACACATTGGATACGAGACGCGTGTTGTCTCGCCGACGTGATCTTAGCCTGCATCTTGTGTACACGCCGTTCAATCTTCCGAACCACAAGGCCGGAATTTCGTCCTTCCGTTTTGGAAAGCGGTTGGACGACGCTATACACGGCGGTGTTGATTTGCCAGATGTCAGCCTCTTCTGTTAGAACACTATGACCCTCCGCATCCAAACAAGCCAGTTCTTGTGGTTTCAGGGGCCTAATTCTGTGGAGCGCTCTGCGTGTTCTGATTGACTCCATTGGTGGCATAAAGCGAGCCTCCTCTCCAGCCGTGCCAACGGGTGGTAGAACTGTCACTTCTACCACTTCGTTAGCAGGCTGGGGAGGAGCTAAATAGCCCTGCCGCCGAAGATAGGATACGTAATTCCTAAGATTTTGGGTGGAAAAGTCGGCATGCTCCGGATGTGTTTCACACCACAGAGCATGCAATCTCGCCATGTACCCTCTTCACGCAGGCTCACTACTCTCGTAGCAATGTATAAGGCTATCTCTTAGCCCATGCGTCCACTCAAAGCATCCGTTGTCATTGCCAGGATTGTCATCGGTAGGCAAATCATCGTTATGGGCCCCACCACTTGGCCTCTGACCCCTCCGAGCGGGTTGATTGTGGAGCCCCTTCCTCGATTGATAGAAACCAAGTGATGGGACCACCGGGTGTTTAGCCCAGTAGATCCACGGCCGGCACCGGAGGGAGAATAGTGTTCTCCTTCCCGGGTGCGCCAGGGCTTCCAGTTTTGCACCAGTTGCTCGGGTAAGTGGTGGCGCAACTCACCAAGGCCAAGGGTGTTAGTGGCCATCCCTGCTTATTTATTATTATTATTAAACTTGCAAAAATAGGCTCTGAAATAAATGAAACGACAATGTGATCATTCGATATGATATTAAAACAAATCAGTAATCAAACTGCTGAGTATTGTCAGCTAATTCTGATTCATTCTCGTTTTTGTTTTCAGTAACTCAATCAATAAAAAATGAATACAAATTAGAATATTCACTTTTTAGTTTTTTAACCGATGTCAAAAACCACATTCGTTTTCGGCCACAAAAAGGGTAGTTCATTTAAATTATCAGAAATAATCCAATTTTTCTATGGAGAAGTGATCACAAAAACGGTATAATTATATGTTTCAATGTTAAAGTTTATCTTTGACATGAATAGATCAATCAATAATATCGATATATCAAGGAGGTTACGCGTACAGCGCCATCTGCCCACGAATAGATCAAACAATAATATCGATAATTCTGTCAAATATAGATCCCGAGCTTGAGAGTTGCAAACATAAAAACAAACATACATACATACATACAGGTGGAGCTAATATAAAGCGTGTAAAAAATTAATAAACAGCTTTTGAAACATTCAAGTAAGATCATCATACGGGTTCTCTCACACGCGACACATTATAAACGATAATTGAATTACTTACGCTGTCCCCAATTTCCTGTTTTTGGATTTAGATAGTTAGGGTAGAGTCCTTTGGGTTTCTCCATCTCTTGAAGAACTTTTCGAATATGATCTACTTTGGCACGGTATATTGGTTTACCAGTCACGTCGCTAAGGTATGCCATCTCGAGATGAAGTGTTCCGAATTCGGATAGAATACTGGAGCTACCGCTCGCCCAACCATAATTCTTGCTTGCCTAAAAATGTCATGATTGTGATTAATATTGTTTCAGCATCACGAAATGTGTGAAGTTCCTCATAGATACCCTACGGTGTATAATAACTATATGAAAAACATCACGTCAAGTTGTTACATCTGCTAAAAAGTCTACATCAAAAGAGTAGAGTGATATACAAACTCCAAGGATATTCGTAACAAAAACTTCGTTTTTCCTCGACTAGTCTAGTTCACATGTACTTTTTTTTGTAGCATTTTTCAGCCCTGTCCAAAAATTACGACCAAAGTGTCATTTGATTCGTATTTTTGCCTAGAAAGTTTAAGGAAGGGTCCGAAAACGCGCCGATATGTATTGTTGGGATACATCAATAAACAATAATCCGCAGTGAAAAAAATGTATGCCAATTTCAACGTTAATTATAAATTTGTTAATTAATAACTTTTTCTGAATTGAAAGTTAATATAAAAATCCCTATAATTATTAAACTGAAACCCTGGCATTTTTTTCCTT